GAGAGAGGGGGACAAAAGCAGGGGCAGAGGGAGAGGGAGAACGGGACTCCCCGCTGAGCAAGGAGCCTGATGTGGGACTCGATCCCAGGACCCTGGGACCATGACCTGAGCCGAAGGCAGACGCTTAACGACTGAGCCACCCAGGCGCCCCGAGAGAGTGACTGGGTTTCAGTATTTCAAGCAGACTTCATAAGAGAGAAAAGATCTGTGGTATAGTTGCAGGCGGTGCTAGACTTTAGAGTTCAAAGTTCACAGTTTTGAATTCAAGTCAGAGCCTCTACTAGGCAGTAAATGTTACTTTAATTATAGGAAAACTAATTAGGTTACAGTGAGGCACATTTTAAATTCATTTACTAATTCTTGAGTGACTTAAATTTATGTATGTGTATTTCCAGTCTTAGACCATATAAATATTAAAATGAATAATAAGTCTCATAGCTTTATATACCAGTATTTGGTTACTACCGTCTGTTACTTTGTATGGGACACTGAAGGAGGGAGAAGTCAGAAAAAGGAAGAATGTCATTTTTGAAAGCTATGCATGATTATTACGTAAAACTTTACTCCATCTGCATGCTTGGCAGAAAAATGACTAGGACACCATTTTTGTTTACATTTTATTATGGTATGAAATTTTCACAGTGTAAAAATTGTGTTTTTTCTTTTGGTCACATCTTTGTCATTTGAACATCATTTCCCACTAGATACTTTATTGGTCTAGATTAGAAGATTGTGGGAGCCTCCTCTGAACCTCTGTGGGGCCTGCTTCATGCAGAGGTATGGAAATTTAGAATGGAAAGAAGCTACGGATTTTCTAGGGCACTATCTGTTTTACCACTGAGGACTTACGCATAGAGCCATTAGAACAGTACTTGGCACATGGCTAATGCCTCAGAAAGGTTAGTCCGGATTAGTAGTAGCATTTGAAGCCAAGCCATTGGAATTTTGGTTCAGGAATTTCTTAGATGTGTTAGAGCTGTAAAGAGACTTGTTTTTCCTGCTTAATTTATTTCATCGAGGACAACCATCACCCTCACTCTCTGGGGATCTTTCCTTTTTTATTTTTTTCTTTTAAATCCCAATTCTTGTTTCACTTCCTTTTTCCTCTCTCTCTCTCTCTCTTCCTAAAAGACAGAATAAATTCAAGGAAATTGAGAGTTGTACTTTAAAACTTTTTTGTTATTGTCCTCTTCAGGGCCAGCCTGAGATTTTCTGCCACCTTTTATAAAATTTATGCCCAGCATAGTTCTGATTTTTACTGCCTTCTCTGCAGATAAACACCCATCCTTCTGCTGATCGCAGCACTGGCCTGTTTCTTCATGGCCAAACTTAAAAATTTTCTGGAAATGTTAAAAACATGTAATAAAAACTTGTGGATGAAATGGGGTAGAAGTAGGAAATTTGGGGGAAACAGTGGAAACCTGTGCCAAAGTTTTTGGCTCCTTTTGGAGAACTAAAGGACTAACTTCTTTTTTCTTTTTTAATGGGTGCAAGGGGAGGGGGAATCCCCAAGGTATCAGGCACAGTTTGCTCATAAAAATGAGCAGGTTTGGTAGATATATTTAAGGAAGTGAAGGCCAGGACAAAATTTCATTAATATAATAATTTGTGTCCCTCTGCCCTCCAAACACATTTTTGTTGGGAGGGGGGAGACTTGTAAATAGAAATGTGAAGCTTTAGAAAAGTCAGGTTTTTCCTATTGTTGTTTTCTTTGTCAGTTTTCTTACCGATATATTTGTGGTAGAGGCTCAAAAGAGGTGAAGGATCATTACTAGTACATTTGGTGCCCATCTAAAATGGGATTCTGTGGACGATGTGCTGTATCAAGTTGAAGAAATTGGGCTGTGGGCTCTACTTCCCCATCACCTTTGTCTTTAAACGCCTTTCTCTCAGGACTAGTGGAACTTTTTAAAGCTCAAATGGTCTTAGTGCTGTTGAGTATGTGCTTCAAGATATATCTGACTGATCTCTAAATCCTCAGTAACTTTTTTTAAAAATTGAAGTGTATTTAGCATACAGTGTAGTATTAGTTTCAGGAGTACAACATAATGATTTAACAATTCTATATATATATATATATACACACACACACACACACACACACACACACACACAGTGCTCACCATGATAAAGTAGTCACCATCATTTGTTTCTTGAATTCCACATAGGAGTGAAGTCACATGGTATTTGTCTTTCTCTGCCTGACTTATGTCACTTGAAGATGACACAAACAAATGGAAAAATATTCCATGCACATGGATTGGGAGAACCAATATTATTAAAGAGTCGAGAACTTTTTAATAACTTGAAAAAGGACTATATTTAAGACTTGTATAGTGCTGTGTGTTTCTATATGTACATATGTCCCCTGTGTTTAGAAAATAATACTTGTTGAAACAAAACATGTGAGATGATGATATTAGATTTAGATGATTATTTTGGTTTGGTTTCCTACTGCCTTCTAGGTGTGCGTGCGTGCATGCGTGTATCTGTGTGTGACTTCTTGATTTTTTCTTCTCTTTATTGGTGGGACTATTAATTTTGGTTTCTTGACTGATTGCATGAAGATTCCAACTTTTATTTTTGCCATGGTTTTATAACCTGTGTGGTTTTAAAGTTGAATTATTTTTTATAAGGAGAAAGTAGCAATATCCTTTTAGTAACTTACTATATAAGGATAAATCTAATTTGTTTTTATCTTTCTTTTCTATTTTCAGAGGACGTTAAGCAAGTTTTTGGACAGACCACAATTCATCAACGTATTCCATTTAACTGGGATTCAGAATTTGTGCAACTACATTTTGGAAAAGAAAGAAAAAGACACCTGACATATGCAGAATTCACTCAGTTTTTACTGGTGGGTCCAGCTCTTAAAGAGTAAATAAGTAAAACTGGGATCCTGATTTACCTCAAAATTGCTAACCTAGACAAACCATCCTATTTGAAAGTATTTCTTCATTAGTATGTAAACAAGATATGATTAAATGGGTTCCTACAGACTGTAGAATCCCTTCCTGTGGAAAAGGAATATGCATTGAGGCCCCAGGAAATCAAGTGATTTGCTGAAAAGTCACATAAGTCGGGGAAGGGGCAGGATTGGAACTTGAATTCTTGGCTTATGACTAGTTCCACTACTATACACCAGTATTTTGTTTTTCTTTGAGAAATGGACAGACATGTCCTCATCAGCATCTAACTGTAGAATTATTTCACTGGAGGCCTTTTATAGACAAAGGCACTGGGTCTGCAACTTGACTGCAGATTGAAATCACTTGGGGAGCTTTAAAAACAACTGGTATTTGGGTCCCCCACCTCTAGAGATTAGATTTGACTGGGGAGGTGGGCAGCGAGAACCTGGGCATTGGGATAGTGAAAGCTTCCCAGGTGCTTATGATGTGCAGCCAAGTTTGAGAATCACTGTTCAGAGAGTATCTGCTGTCCATACCCAGGGTGAAACTCGGGGTTGTTTACATTTCTGGGGTGCACCTTCCTTGGCCTTGTCCCTCCTGCCTTTCTCTCATCACCACCCGCATCCCATTGTGGTCCCATCATTAGACCACTGATGATGCCAGTGGACAAGTAGTAACAAAACATGATTGCACTTTAGTTGTCCTCCTGAAGTGTAATTCTTAGAATGTTTTAATTCCAATATTAACATTTAGTCACTAAAGGTCAATATCTGTATGGTATGTAGGCTGTATGATTCTTTCTTTTGGACTTTGATGCATTTGTTTTGTTTCTCTAACATTTAATTTTATTTATATTTTATTAAATGTAATTTAAAAAGACTCATTGAAGGCCATTATTTTGCTGTGTTTAAATTCTGGGTCTTGAGGGAAAATTTGCCAGGGAAATGACCTTCTTTCCTTTGTCACTAGAAATGTCTTTGGGGGTATCCTGCTGCCCCTGTTTATTTCATGTGCCTAAGACTTTGCCAGAGCCTTCTGAGGTGTGGTGGCAAGGTGTAGTGTCAGGGTGGATGTTCAGGGCTCAAGAATGCATGCACGCAAACACACACACGCATGCACGCGAACACACACACGCACGCATGCGAGTAGGCTGTGTCATGTGCTCATTCAGTCAGCATTTTGTGGGATCCACTCTCAGGCACGAGCATATGTACTAGGTTGACTTTAATAGGTACTTCTGTTTTTGACTTTTAGTGGTTTTGTTATGATATATAAAATTTGTCATGCTATTTATTTAGTTTGCTATTATTTTCCCAGCCTTCGGAAACTTAAAGCAAGATGTTTTAAACATACCTTTGTATTTTTTTTAAATGTTAATGTCTATGAATCCCCTTTTTCCGTTCTATGTAAACACAAACCGACTTAAATAACTCAGGTGTAGAATGGAATGTGAGTTGTTGGATTTTTGCTGTTGTTTACACAAGACATTGGCGCGCAGTAGGAGGTGGTATTCATTTTGATGAGGAATAATTACAATAATGCTATTGAGACAAATGCCTCAAATTGACTTTATGGAACACGGCCTAATTAACTTTTAGCCTTAATGGGATGTTAGCAGTAGTAGGGATGATCACGTTTCCCTTTTAAGCAGGTATCAATTAGGCTGAATTGAGTCAGCTGTAAGCCACTCAGAGCGGCTTCTAGGCCTTCTTCAAGATATGGAGAAACCAGAGTCAAAGATTAAATGACTCAGGGATTACTGATTGTTTCCAGCTGCAACTTGTAGGGCAGTCGCTTACATTTGACTCCTTTTATAATGGTAAATGGAAAAACATCCCACAGTGTCCTGCATGGGATGATTTTGACTTTGTAGGCAGAATGCAAGTGCTGAATGTATACTAGATTAAAATGGTTATGGTGGATAATTATCTCGGGGAGGGCCTTGCTTTGTATTCCACTCCAGGTCCAGATTTAAAGGAATTAATGGATGTATCATGGTAGACTTTCTGTGAATGTCAGTGAAATGCCAGTTTTGATGTCTACCGTTGGATTACTTCCCCCACCCCCCATTCACATGTTTTGTTGGCTTCCTTTGAACTCTTTTCTGAATGCAGGTTTAGCTTCAGACCCCTACTCCGAATGCTTGGTTGGCTTCCTTTGGGCTCTTTTCTGTAGGCAGGAACTTCTTAAAGATAGAAGAAAGCTTAATCTCCTATATTTTGGGCTCTTGCTTTGTCGAGCACACACCCGCCTTTCTGCTCTAGGGCAGGGCTCAGAAGTAGGCAGCAGCTCCCCGGCTGGTGCCAAGGTTGTGAAAGCAGATGCTTGGCCGCTCGCGCCATGAAAGGCCTGTCCCCGGGCATGCTGCTACCTGGCACCTGACAAGGAAGAGGAGCGGCCATCGGGACAGCTGAGAAGTGTTTGTGTTTTCAGGGAGCCTTAGTGGTATGTAGAGAAAACACTGCTCTGTCCCACAGACGGTCCTAGAAGGGAGTTCGGGCTGCTTCCAGCCAACTGAAGTGTCCCATTTATGAGTTACCTATGCTGGTCTACGTACAGCTGCTTGTGACCGGTGAGCAGAGCCATTCTCTGGCAAGGTCAGATTTCTGTTTTCTTCCCATATGAGTGTTTTACTCTTATCTGAGCACGTGCGAGTTTGTTATAAGCCACCACGTGGCTGTGAGGACTTGACATGTTCCCTGTCTGGCCAAGCTGCCCACTCGCTGGGCTGGTGCCAGTCATGGGCGCTGCTTGAATGCTCTGCTGGTGTGTTGTTTTCTGTGCTTTGGTTTTAACTTCATAAAGTGGTCAATCAATTTGATATTCTTTGAGCTAAGCATGCCTGACTTACAATTTCCCTGTAAATGATAGTGTTGAAGCAAGAAGCAGGGATACAAAGCCTCCTTCCCAGAGTCTTGTTCCTAGTTGATAGAGAAGAATTTCAGAAGCAAGTGGGACTGCAGTCCTGTTACCCCATCAATGATACTGCTGAATTTACTGCTCCTGTGTTTTGTCTCCAGGTCTGTCGTCCTCTCTTAACTACATGAGGAGTGTGTATGTGTGAATGGGAGTAGTTTGATAGGAGGGTATGTAGGTGTATTTTAAAATATTGTGAATATTTCCACATACATCTATTCTTTTTTTTTTTTTTTTAAAGATTTTATTTATTTATTTGAGAGAGAGAATGAGATAGAGAGCATGAGAGGGGGGAGGGTCAGAGAGAGAGGCAGACTCCCTGCGGAGCAGGGAGCCCGACGTGGGACTCGATCCCGGGACTCCAGGATCATGACCTGAGCCGAAGGCAGTCGCTTAACCAACTGAGCCACCCAGGCACCCACATACATCTATTCTTGATTTCAATTTTATGGTTGCTAGTTGAAAATGGGTTTTAATATACTGAATTTTTTAGAAAACAATTTGGAGAAATACTCTTCTTCTATACCTGATGGAACTCCTGTTCATAAATGGCATCAACTTAAACTCTCTGCCCTGTGCAGAGTATTTCTTGTGCTGTGATTATGACTCGCTTGAGACAAACCACCCAGTTGAGCAAATGTTTGCAGAACATGCAGGGTTTGTCCAGAGGCCTTGTGCAAAGGGCCAAGAGGTACAGAGATAACAACTTTTTAGATCCTTACAATGCACAGGTCTAGGGGTTGTTGCTGTGTTTATCCATCCGATAGCTCAGAAGGAACAGCTGCAAGCAAGTGTGTACACCCCACAAGGCTGCTCTCTTGTAGCAAAAAACCTCAGGAGTTTGTAGCACAGATCCTTATGGCAGCTGTAAAGCTGAAACCAACATTCCAAGTGTGGTCAGGGCAGCCATCGAAAGGACAAACTTAAAGGACCAGATACCAGCATAAGTACATCTAGTTAACTACCCCATTTTACAGATGAGAAACTGAGGCCTTTCGCTTGAGGCCTCTTAGCAGTATCTCATTTGTGAGTTTGATTTGCATTTTCCGAATGTCTAATGATGCCAAGCATCTTTTCATGTGCTTAGTGGTCATTTGTATATCTTCTTTGGGAGATCATTTTTAGTTGGTTATTGGGTGGACATCATAGGCAAATGTGAGCACAGAGTGAGACCTCTTAAACTTTTCTGCTAAATTATTCTGTTGGTACTAAGATTCACTCTTGAAAATAGAAGTAATAATAGTAACAATCTTTATAATTTATGAAGTGCTTTTAAATATTCTGTTTCTGATAATAGCATCCCAATACTGTGAGAGGTAATTATCATTACCCCCTATTGTATGCAAAAGAATAAACGGACTCTAGGTAAAAGTTTGCATTTACCGGTAATTTTCTCGGGAAAATGCTCATGGCTTTCATTGGGTTCCCAAAGGAGTACCCCAAACGAGTACACAGAAACTATTAGAGCTTAGTAGCTTCTTCCATAAGATCACAGACTTGTGAGGGATTAAAAATATTATGCTGTTGCCATTTTATTACATTATCTCCAGGGCCAAGGCTATAAAAAACTAGTTTCTGTTCCTGGAAGGGGCTGTGCTTCTGAATGGTGTACAGTCATGCCTTGCTGGACATTGAGCATTCCTGACCCCCATCCATTAATTGCCAAATATAACAAAAGAGGCCCTTAGTAGGGGTATGTGTTTCTGTCATTTTCAGTTACCTTTTTTTTTTTTTTAAGATTTATTTCTTTATTTTAGAGAGAGGGAGAGAGCGAGAGCACAAGTGGGAGGGACAGAGGGTGAGAGAGGGAATCTCCAGCAGACTCTGCACTGAGCGCAGAGCCCCACATAGGGCTCGATCCCATGACCCTGAGATCGTGACCTGAGCCAAAACCAAGAGTCCAGCGCTCAACCGACTGAGCCAGCCAGGCACCCCTGTCATTTTCAGGTAATGACATTTTCAGGTGTCATTTTGATGATCTTTTATAATCATAGGTATATATTTCACATATTATTAATAATTTAAAAATAATCTACACATAGATTCTAGTTGCTCCAGATTCAGAATAGAAAAGTCTAGGATGGCTACCAAATGCAATATATGTGTTAACTAGAAATCGGTTTTCAGTTAACTCTCACATAGCATTTTCCAGCTTAGAAAGTGCTTTTACTCGTATTTGTCCTTGTGATCATCTTAGATGTTAAGCATTTGCCATTGTTTCTGTATGAAAGATGAGCACACAGAGGCTTAGTTTTCTGGAGTTGTTCAAGGTGAGATTTTAATTTTCATAAGTCTCTAGCAATGTTTTTCAGATTTTGGGTAAAATTTTTCTGAAGTGATTATTTTAAAAGACAGAATCCTGGCCTCTCTGCCCCTCAAGGGTCTGTTTCAGTAGGTCTGGACAGGGCCTAAGAAACTTTCAAACAAGAATCCTGAATTGTGATATTCCAGATGGTCCAAGGGCCACACATTGAGAAACACTGGTCTAGACTACAAAACCCTGACTGTTTAAAAAGCACAGAATCGGGTTTTCAGGTTTTCATCCCAGTGTTGATGAGAAGCTTAGACAGGCAAACATGATCAGATTTGTGTTCCAGAAAGATTGTCCTGGCTGTTGTGTGGAAAATCCAATGGAGTGGGATCTAATTGAGGTCAGGGAAGACTGGTTGGTCACTTTCTAATTCCAGAGAGAAACAACAGTGGCCTTGGTTGGATGGTAATGGTGATGAGCCAAAGCAGGTGGATTCAAGAGAAGGTGAGGGATAGGCCTGATCAGGCTTAGTGATTTAATAGGATGGAGACAGTTAAGAATAAGGTAAAACTCCCAGTTCACACCTTTTTTTAGGTGAGTTTCAGGCTCGGGCAAGTGGA